AGACTTGCGTTTCGTCGCGAGCAGCTTTGTGAAAAAGTGGCTTATCAGCTCAAAAGTTGTAAACGTTTACAGGATATTTGCCCTCCTTCAGCAATAAATGTGTTTAACCGCATAACACGGAATTCTAGTAAACTCCGGCTAGCAAAAGTCCCTCGTACCAGCCGGTACTTCAATAGCCCTGTTCCGTACATGTGCAAGATGAATAACAAATTGTAAACAGGCACTGAATTTTTTACAATAGCATATGTATAATTAGTCTTTTGCTTACGCCCCTTTATGAACATTTTGTTCTCTTTGAAATAACTCTCTGGGCAACTTTCGGTTATGTGATATGTTTGATTCTTTGAATCATTGTGTCGCATTTTAATTGTAACTATTTTTGACCAAGGATCACGTTATTAAAAATTTAGTAGCATATTCTAAAGACGGTTTTTAGTTGTAGTAATATAATTTTACGAACCAACATTTTATGTGATATCAAGAGCATATAAAGAAGCCTTAATATGCTCTTGGTGATGTCTATGTCTTACCATGGGACATATATTATTGTATATATCATCAATCTCAGTTTTATACTGCCTGATGATATCTTGTTTGCAAAATTTATTTTAATTGTAACGTTGTTGACACTATTTTTGCAATAAACCTATTATCTATCTATAGATCTATCTCTGACTCTCTCTCTCTCTCTCTCTCTCTCTCTCTCACTCTCTCTCTCTCTCTATCTCTCTCGCTCAATCACTCTCACTCTCTCTCCCCGCGCTCGCTCTCCCGGCGCTCTCTCTCGCTCTCTCTCACTCTCGCTCTCTCTCTCTCCCGACACGGATTCGAATTCTTACGACACTGCGCCCTTTAATCAGTATTTGGTGATGGCAATTGCACGAAGTAAGTCAGGGTCAGTCGCTCGCTCTATCCCCATCGTTCTCTCGCACGTGCATCCGTGCGCGCGCTCGCTCTCTCTCTCTCTCTCTCTCCTCTCTTCCTTTCGCTTCTGTCGCTCAATGAGGGTTATGTCCCACTGCAGTGTACTGCCGTAGTAGCCTGGTAACCGGTCGGTATAGACCGGAACGTACCCTGATACATTGATATGGTTAAGGGTTAGATTAGGGTTAGGGTAGGGTTAGGGCTTAGGGTTCGGGTTCGGGTTAGGGAGTAGGAGGTAGGCGACTCGCTAGACTGACGTTAGTGGAGTAGGCGGGTACCTCCGGCAATATTTAGATTAGTACCAGGGGTACGTTCCGCGTTATAACGCCCACGTAGCCAGTGGTACGTTTCCGGCATACCGCCCCCCCGACAGGCGGGGACATAGACCCTCTCAGCTTTCTCCGGGGTCTTCACATCGTCCTCTCCTTCTCTCGTCACTGCTCTCTCTCTTCCTCTCGTCTCACATCGTTCCTCTCCTCCTTCCAGCTTCTCCAGTCACGCCTTCATTCTCTCTCTCTCTCTCCGCTCACTCACTCCCTCGTCGCTCTTTTTCTAACGGATCAGTCCTCCCTCTTCTATTACTATTTCCTCCTCTCACTCCGCGGCTGTCCTCTCCCTTGCCCTCTTCTCTACGCTATCTTCTAGCCCTTCTCCTAAAGGCCAACAATGGCAGACGACCAGCGCACGTCTGATTTTTGGGGCTACGCAATGGCGAGCATAAACATTACACAAGTGAGAATCGCCTTTTGCTGTTGCGTTTTCAAGTTTTCCTAAATTTAACACTTGTATAGTTCCAGACGCTGTTTTGAAGCTGAAGCCCGATCAGCAAACTGGAGCAGGTTGTCTTTTTCCAGATCATAAAAACAGCAATTTCCCTGAAAGCCTAGAATTTTTGTATCGATCGACGCCATGCAAGAGACAGCAGGCAGACAAGTTTTTTACGGATAATGTTTTTTGTCACGGTGCGATGAATCAAAAACCGTACTCTGCGATTGGCTATTTTGTGTGTGTGTGTGTGTGTGTGTGTGGTGTGTGGTTGTGTGTTGTGCGTGCGTGCGTGTGTTAGTGTGTGTGTGTGTGTGCGTTCGTGGTGCGGCGTGCATGTGTGTTGTGTGTGTGGGGGTGTGGTGTGTGTGTGTGGTGTGTGTCGTGTGTGTGGTGTTGTGTGTGTGTGGTGTGTGCTGTGTAGTGTGTGTGTGTGTGTGTATGTGTGTGTGTGTGTGTGTGGTGTGTGTGTGTTGGTGTGTGTGTGTGTGTGTGTGTGTGTGTGTGTGGTGTGTGTGTGTGTGTGTTGTTTTCTTTCTGTGTGTGTATAGGACACGTATAGTACAGGTATTATTATTCGATTAAATAACTTTAAGTGCGCTATACGTATACGCCGAACCTATGAACTAAACTACGAATTCGCGCCCATCAAACCCGCGAGCATTTCGCCTACATCCGCGTGTGCATGCACCGCGCATCAATCGCACATCCGCTCATGGAAGAAGCAACTATCGCGTCTGTGTAGAGTGCATGAGAGTTTCCTCTGTCTGTGTAGCTAACCGCGGAAACCGGTGCGGGTCTTCCTGTCTGAAACACTCGGAGATGCGCCACCGGTCTAGCACGTGGTGTTCACCCCCCCCCCCCCCCCCTGTGGTAATAGGTCCCCCTCTCCACATGAGCGTGGGCACGTCTAGCAGGCATTGCGTATTCGCATGATCAAGGATTTGATTTTGATTGCTCATGCGCAGTGTAGAAGCGGGGGGACGTTTACCATAAGAGATATATGTAAGTTGCCACACCGTCTCTCTCTCTCTCTCTCTCTCTCTCTCTCTCTCTCTCTCTTTCTCTCTCTCTCTCTTTCTCTTTCCGTTCATGAGTGTGCGTTGATCTAGCGTTATCTGCTTAGTTGTTTCGTTGGATCTTTCGCACGTTTTAAGCGGGTTGTTGCGTCCTAACGGATTCCAAAATGGTGGTGAGTTAGATGTGAAACTGTAGCGGATTAGCGGTTTTAGGGGACGAACGGAACATAGTTCGCTGAAGAGTGGTTCGGGTTTGCGCAGCTAAATGATTTCTTCCTATTAGTATCCGAGAGTTGGGATTTTCAGATACGTTAGAGTGGTCATGGAGAGAGCGCGGAGGTGTAGCTGTTGATGTTATTGTGATGTTGTTGTGATTGCCGATAATTACCCGTAAATGCCGGTCAAATGCTCATCTGCAACACACAAGTACACCGCACGCCCGCCCTGTGCACAAACAACATGAATAAGAGAGCTCTTACGGGTCATTAGCGGCAATAATATAGGCGAAATAGAGTAGAGAAACATTAAGACTTTGGTAGTAAATACGTTTCGTGTTTATTTACCTTTTTTTTATTGAGACGTTCCAAGTGCCTGTGGTTGTGACGAGTTGTCATTTTGTGTTAACGTATGGCGTGGTTGTGGCATTGTAATTATATTGGCCATTAAAGTTACAATTGACCGTTTTTCACAAGATAATCTAATTATAAATATATAGCGTTGCGGTTTCTTATTATAAGGTGCATCAATATTGACTATTAAACAATCTTTCAGCATATTTTTATCGCATTGCATCTTCGCATTTTTCTAGACGCCGGCAAACAAAATCTTCGTCGTCGCCGCGCTCCTCGCCTGCCTCGCCATCGCTCGCTGCGCCGCCTGGCGCGAGAATTCGCTACTAGACATCATCACGCAGCGTCGCGAGCCGGAGTATTACGACGATGACGATAGCAGCGACAACGTCATACCCATCATCCCCGACTACGGTCCGTGGCGATACTGGAAGCCGATCAGGAAGATCGACGAAGTCATTAACAGGCCGTCGGTGGCGTACGGAGGCGGTGGCATGAACATCTTGTTCCCTCCCGGCCCGAGAGTGCCGGCGAAGGACTCTAAGTGAACTGCGACGCTAATGCCACCTCCAGTCGCCGGACGGAACTAACGACGGAGACGATTCGTGCCAGGACGTACGCGTATGTTAGATGGGTAAAATCTCAGCGATTGTGATGGCGCGTGGCAACGTCGCGGTGATGTAACGTGGTCACTTGTTTCGTTTTACGTGGTTATTTTAAGATGCAGATATATAGAGACTGGGTGTTCTAGATCGAGTGAAGGCCCTGAATCGTCGAACGTGGCGCCGCTGTATCGTCGCTGTCGCTGTCGCAGGTCGAGTCGCTGAATCGTCGAACAAACCAAAGATGTTTTGTAGATGTTTACAATCAGTGATTCTTCATTATCCGCGTCTGTAACAGTAAATAAGTTGTGTGTTCATTGGCGAGCGTTTTCCTTCATCTTCACTACAGTGGTATTAGCTGGTAAATACGCCAGAATAAGTAATTCTATAGCTAGTCTTCTACGACGCAAAATGTAGATGTGATCGTATCAATTATCGAAAAAAATCATGTGTAAAGATATGAATCAATAAATATGATATTCATGTGAGATATGAGAAATCCACTCGTTCGCGTTGATTGGTCGTGTGACATACAGCTCTGTGGCACGGACGCAGTAAACTCATTTTACCTGCAGAAGGGGGTGTGCAGGGCAAGACCACGTGCGGTTTGCGTTCTGGCAATCGACGGTGGCTAGTTCGACATTGACCGTTGAATAGTATCTACAATATTGTCCGAGGGGCAACTGCGTAACTGCCCTCCGTCCTTGCCCTGCCGGGTTATAACCGCGAGCCTGATTGTCAAGGTCAGGTGATGTTGCAAGTTATAAACCCAAATTATTGGTCCACTCCGAAGTCAGAACGCATAGACATAATATAATCAGGTGATTTTTCATCTGCTTGGAGCCTTCTGCAGATTTGACCAGCTTGGTGATGCTGCGTGCACGGACACAGAAAGGTAACAAGAGACACATTTAAAATCATGATTTTGCGTTTTTATTCACTTAAAAAATATTTCGTAACATGGTCACTCGACACGGTAGCAAACCGTAGCATATACCGCAGAAAACCAACCGTCTTATATATCCTACATTCGTTTTTCTAAAATATCCAAACGCGTTGCCCTGGTAACAGCACAATATATGAACGCGAAGTTGGCTCGTGTAAAGACAGCTAGAGTGCAGGTTCGACAGTATAGTTTATTACCATGCAAATAAGCAGGGAGAACGAGAGGTGGAGCAAATGGGAGGGAGACAGACAGAGAGAACAGAATCTTCAAGGGGAATGTGGAAGAAGGCACACTTCCAAATGATAAAACACCAATGTGATTAGAGTTGGGGTTAAGAGATTGGGGTATGATTACGCTTAGGGATAGAGTTGGAGATTAGGTGGTGGTTAACGTTTGGGTTGCGGCTGGGTTATGGCTATAGGCCTATAATTACCATTAGAGTTTGGCATAGGGTTTTATTAAGATAAGTGTGGGCTGTGCTCTGACAGTGGAACCTTTTAAATTGTTGCAGGAAACGTCAGCATTCGATATAGTATTGTATTGTATTGTATTGATTTTCCCCTAAATGTTTCCGCTAATAACCATCGTAATAGCACCCGTTTGTAAAATGTACACCTGGATCTTTACTCCCGTATTAACCTTCCTTTGGCAATGATTCGTTAGCGGTAAGATTACGTTGAATTAATATATGATTAACGTATTCCTAAACTCTATCCTCTTTTAATCACAGCATGGAAGCTTTTATCAATCGGTTTGACGTAGTGGAAATATATATATATATATATATATATATATATATAATATATTTATTTTTTTATTTATTTATTTATTTATATTTGATATATATCATTGTACTATATCATATTTCATAAGATATCCACGATGTAACTCGCTAGCGTTTAGAATAATCCGGCTTTTTTCTTCATGTCTATACGTTTCCATTCCGGTTTCTTGTAAAATTCCTCCTTCGTCATCTGCATGATTTCCTTGAATTCGTTGTCGGACAAATAGCTCTGTGTGCGAGAAATAAAATTCCTGTCAATTTCAAATCGATACGATCGATGAGACATCGATATCCGTGATGTCCGGGAATCGTTGGGACTTCGATATATATCCTAAAGATTAATTAATTACTTAGCTAGAAAGGTTACGCACACGACTGAACGAAGTTATAGAAGCGGCCGAACAACGTTACAGAAACCACTATGGTACCATTGATTATGTTGGCTAGCAACATTGGGCTATATAACAGTAAAAACAACTGTGTATTATACACAACTCAGTGTCTAGCACGCAATGGCGCTGGAACCTTTACCTCTTTCTTGGTGGCGTCAACGCCTAGCGGTGGTGGATTCCTCACCAGATCCTCATAGCGATGCTCTGACATGTTATACACCTTCAACTCCTGCAAGTCCAAACATTAGCGTAGACACTAGAATAGTTCATTCTATACTATAGTTCGCCAATAAGATCATGTTCTTCTATAAAACTCTAGGTCGTTTTATATTTTTTTGTTTTACATTACTCGTTTTATAACTTTTCGTTTTTGTGTGTCTATTCGAATAATTCGTTCGAGGTTCTCGAAGTCACCCCTATAAATATCAAGTTCACCACACCCCAGGCCAGCGACACAACTTCTTCGCAACTAGAGTACTTGGAACACGCTCAAGACTGAGACAGTCTGTAGCACCACACTAAATACTTCTAAGGGACGGCTTACCAGGGAGTGGCAAACCAGACAATGCCTGTACCAGTACCGTTTTTCTTACCACCATCCGTTTTACTACCATCCACCGTTTTACTAACTACCATCTCGCACAGGCACGCCAGTGATTATTCAGACATATACTAACACGAAACAGGAACATGAACAGTTCCCCAGCCTTAGACGGTCTCAATACTTTAACCGGTAAATATTGACCGATCATAAGATAAGTCATAAGATAAGTTTTGCGTGTTTCGAGAGCGTGCTGTGCATTTGGCTCTCGGGTCGGGAGGCGACTTACCTCTTCCACGAATTTAATGCCGAGGTTCTCCTTCCCAAACTCCTCCTTCAGCTCTAGGAAAGACTTGCCTTCCTACAACACGCCGTCAAGCAGACAAGTCACGCGTTAGTAATAGTAGCAGCAGCAGCAGCAGCAGCAGCAGCAGCAGCAGCAGCAGCAACAGCAACAGCAACAGCAGCAGCAGCAGCAGCAGTAGCAGCAGCAGCAGCAGGAGCAGGAGCAGTAGCAGCAGTAGCAGCAGCAGTAGCAGTAGCAGCAGCAGCAGCAGTAGCAGCAGCAGCAGCAGCAGTAGCAGTATCAGCAGTAGCAGTAGCAGCAGCAGCAGCAGTAGCAGCAGCAGTATCAGCAGCAGCAGCAGCAGCAGCAGCAGTAGCAGTATCAGCAGTAGCAGTAGCAGCAGCAGCAGCAGCAGCAGCAGCAGCAGCAGCAGTAGCAGTATCAGCAGTAGCAGTAGCAGCAGCAGTAGCAGCAGCAGCAGCAGCACTAGCAGTATCAGCAGTAGCAGTAGCAGCAGCAGCAGCAGCAGCAGCAGCAGCAGCTAGCAGTATCAGCAGTAGCAGTAGCAGCAGCAGTAGCAGCAGCAGCAGCAGCACTAGCAGTATCAGCAGTAGCAGTAGCAGCAGCAGCAGCAGTAGCAGCAGCAGCAGCAGCAGCAGCAGCAGCAGCAGCAGCAGTAGTATCAGCAGTAGTAGTAGCAGCAGCAGCAGCAGCAGCAGCAGCAGCAGTAGTATCAGCAGTAGTAGTA